CTCTACCCATAATTATCTCAAAAATATGATTTATTCTCTCAACAACCTATAGTTATCTCCACAACCCATAATCATCTCAACAATATAATTTATACTTTCAAAAACCCTTAGTTATCTCAACAACCCATATTTATCTCAACAATATGAGTCATATTCAACAATTTCCACCTTGGAGAATATCGAACCCCTATGAAAACTTATTGTATAACAATTCGTCTTGGAAACTGATGAAGTAAACCTCCTGCTTAACACTAAGAAATATGTATTAAGTCCAAACAGTGTTTGAACTTGTCACTGGTTATTGACTTGGTCAACATATCAGTGCATTCTCTAAAGTGTGAACCTTTTGAAGTAATATTTGTCCAGACGCCAACAACTCCCTGATCTTGTGGAACGTCACATCAATATGCTTGGTACTAGCATGATACACCTGATTGTTCTCCAAATAGATAGAACCATGACTATCACAATGAAACTGAACTCCACCTTGCTCAACACTCAACTCTTTCACTAACCAAGTAAGCCATAATGCTTCCTTGGTAGCTTCAGCTACTGCCATGTATTCTGCAAATGATGTAACACCCTGCTCTTTGTTGAACATGATCTCATGATTTGTTGTACCCTTCAAGTACCTTAGGATCCACTTGACTGCTTTCCGATGATGCTTCCCTGTATTGGACATGAACTTGCACACTTGACTAACTGCTTGTGCCAAATCCGGTCTAGTGCAAACTATAGCATACATCAAACAACCAATTGCACCAGAATAAGGAATTTTAGACATATCTTTAATCTCTGAGTCTGTCTTCGGACATTGTTCTAAAGAGAGCTTTTCTTTTCTCATGTCAAATCTGCTTAAAACACCTTTCATGTAGCTTTTTTGAGAAAACCATAATTTATTAGCTCCACGGTGCCTGTGAATTTCCATCCCAAGAATATTCTTTGCAGCACCCAGATCCTTCATATCAGTCTTCAACTCTTTTATATCATGTAAATTGTTGGCAACAATTAGCATATCATCAACATAAAGTAACAGGAAAATAAAAGAGCCAACATCAAAGTTTCTCACATTAACACAACAATCATAATCACATCTTCTATGGCCAATCAGGAGCATGTATGAATCAAAACACTTGTACCATTGCCTTGGAGACTACTTCAAGCCATACAAAAATCTCTTAAATTCGCAAACAAGTTTGTCATGTCGAGTATCGTTGAATCTCTCTGGCTAGTCCACGTAGATTATACAATTTATACTATATATATCATCATGATTACAAATAATAATTTCAATTTATAGAAGTACTAAAAAAATAAAACTAAATTAAAGAATTAGAATTTAAAAAAACATTTTATAATAAATTTGGCATAAATAAATGATAAAAAAATATCTATACTTTAAAATTTTGATAATTGTATCTTTAATTTTTAAAATCAAAAATAATTTTAACAGTGTATAATTGATTTTAATGTGTTTGATTTTTTTTTTAAAATAGATTTGACAATATCACCACACAAAAAAATTAATTAAAATTTATATACGGAAACCATTTATTATTGATTCAAATTATTTTATAAATAATGTCAAACCAAAAATAATACTTATATACGAGATAAAATACATTAATAATTAAAATGTTTTTATATAATTTTAGGCACGGGTTTATAATCTTTTTAAAAATAATAAATTCTTTTAGTTAATAAATTTGACTTTCTTTTATTATAAATGTTCAATAATTTAATGTAATATGAAAATTAATTTTGATGGTTATTAAAATAATTATTATTTTTAAATATTTTCTTTAAATTGTTATTGTCCAAAAATTTATATGTTTTAATTAACTATGAGGATTTTAATTAGTTAATATATATTTTTTATTTGTCAATTTAAAATTTTTATTGTTCTTAATATTTTAGATGATGTTGATCAACTATAAAAAAACAAATATTGACCAAATTATAATTTGTCATTTTTTTAAAACGCAAAATTAAAATAATTATAACATAAACATTTAATTATTGATCAAAATATAGAATAATAACATGAATAAATTTACTATTTATTCAAATATTATTGTGAATAATTCCAAAACACAAATAATATTTATATAAAAAAATATATATTGTTGATTCAATTTTTTATTTATAAATTAATTATAAACACTAGTTTATTATCTCTTTTAAAAATAATAAAATTTTTTATTAAATTTTAAAAATAAATCGTGTATCATACCAACTCGCATGCCTACGTACGAATATTTTACTAGTTATTATAGAAGAAATATAAATAAATTTCTTAGGGGAATTATATTGTGTTATTTCAAATGTAGTTAATCTCATACCACTACACTACAAATAATAGGTGATTAAATATAATTACATATAAAAAGTGGTCAAACATTATATAGTCCGTATATAACCCACTAAAAGCTGTTGGAAAAGAGGAACACTAAATCTAGCATAGTCAATTTTATAGTCCCTCTAACAATTCTTTTAAAGATTCACAAATAACGAAACGTTCAGAAAAAATAGGCACGTCAATTAAAAATTGCAGAAAATTTGATACTTTCAAGCTACTTTCTCCGATCCTGTTTATAAAAGAAAGTTGATTTTTTACTATAATAAAGTAGTATTTAAATTTAAATTGATGTTTTGTGTCCCTAGTTATAAATATTCAGGCATCATATTATTAAAATTGGATTCATTATATGAACATGAGCAGCACTGTGGCTGAGGTTTTAGCATGAAATAGAGGCAGGGTGATTTGGTGCAGAATTTTTTGAGGAACTTCTTCCTAATTTAAGATTGGTTCAGAGTTTATGAACATGAATAATGACTAATTTAGAATACAGACCAAATCCTTCATGCTCTGTCTCAGTCTGATAGAAGAGTCCATCAGTATAAATAACTTGGAAGAGTTTCCCAAATGCTTGATACTTACAACAACAGGAGTATGTATTATACATCAATCCTTTTATGCAGGGTATTTTAATGGTTTTAACATTTATTATCTTGATATGTACCTATAAAATTCTTTAATATGATCAATTCATTCCTGCCAAACTTGTATCCATGCAATATCAAAAATTTGGAATGATCTGTTACTTTCAGTATGCTTTCTGTTTATCTTTAAACTGTGAATTGTGATTTACTTTCAATGTGCTTTCATCTCAAGAGTTCTTCACAATTTAATCCATAAATGATCAGTTATATGAAAAACTTTTGAAACATGTGAAACAGGAGACTTGTTATAAAAGAGACTAGAAAAGACTTGGACATGCACATCATAGACAAAAATTGCATATGAAACTGCATAGAAAATACTTGTATCTATGGAATTTAGACTTTTTCACTTCACTTGCTATTCAATCTTTCATCACCTAGTTACAATTTCATATTGATTTTTATCATGCATACTAGTATGAGAACATAACTAATTCTTGCAATAAAAAGGCCTAAAAGATAGCATTCTAGCCTACCTTTCTAATACCATTCTAGTAACTAGATTTTGGGGCTTCAACTCATACTAAAATCTTACATAACTTTATTTTCAAGTTTATACATGTTGTATAAATAATTTATACCAAAATTTAAGATGCCTCATCCAAAAGCGCAGCACCAGCAATTATGTAGAAAATAGAATCATGCTTCCTACAAAGCATTCAAGTTATAAACTCTAAGCCTAGGGACCAAACAATTTGAAGACCATTTCAGTTCTCAATACTTGTCTATAATGCATATTTAAGTAGATTTTGCAGCTGTAATGAGGCCTTAGTTACTCATTGGACAGTGAACTAATGTCGCCACCAAAACAACTTAAGTATTTGGAAATGAGTTTAAAAGTACACAAACATGCGTATATGTTGAAGCTACAAATTGGAGCTTCACAAATTTCACATCAATGTGCATTGGGATGTAAAACTGAGGCTTCAAACTCATTACCAAACACACACTAAGTCATTCTCATCTTACCCTTCTCTTAAGTGCAATGTCAAGCTCGTTCCTGTTGTGTACAATTCTAGAACAGTTAAGCTTCATAAGATTTAAAATTATTATGCAGTAATACAAGTATTGTAAAGAAAAAAGAAATAAGGTTACTTGTTTTGTCCCCATTCAACTTAGTATCCTAAGATAGGGCCAACAAGCAAAATTTTCATCAATCCATTTTCCTACGACCAATACCTATTCTTAGTTCAATTGTGAACAGTAAATTCTGTCTAAAAAGTTCAGATTAGAATTATGCAGCAAAACAGATATTTCGGAGAACTTTTCAGTCTATAATTTCATTACAAGTCATACTATAACTATAAGCAGAGTACATAATCATTTCAAATATTACACCCATGAGCTAAGCCATAACAAGTTACTGCTTTTGTTATGGTAATGCAGGGAATAGAAGATGGTATATTTCAGAACCTCTTACTTTGCAGCAGAAGCACTAGCATGCTTATCTGTTCCAATTACATTCATGTGTCGGCTTGGCAGATTTCAGAACCTCTTCGGTGGTTGGTGCATTTGTATTAGCCCGCTGGGTGTTAGTTTGAGAAACAAACATTAAATCAAATCCATAGAAGATATTTACTAGAGTCGATTAAGAAAAATAAGAAAAATGAAAAGCAATAATGTAAGTAAACTGCATATTGTTAATGTTGAAGTCGCCTGCAAATGACGAAGAAACAGATATCCATTGTTGGGTCCACTGATCTTCACAATCTAAAACTACGCACCATGGTAAATTCTGGCAGCATTATGGACAGAAAGTACTAAACCACATTCAATTGAGTGATGGCACTGTCAATGAGGTAATTAAATATCAACTAAAGAAAGACAAACACGTGAACTATACAGGTTTTGGTAAACACACATAACAAAAGAAACAACAATGACAAAAGTCTTTTTTCCCATTATGTGAAGCAAGTGCATAAATGAAATTATGTTATAATGCTGAAATATAAATTCAAGATAATAAAAGTATAAATAAAAAATCATCTTACCTAATTTTAATCTTTAAATAGACCTCTCGCAATCATTTCACGAACAAGTTTCTCTGCCTTATCATTTTCATCTTTTTCAAACAGAGAAAGAATAACTATTTCATAAGTTTTAGCATTTGGATTGCAGCCACTGTTTTTCATTTTTGACAGCAAGGCCAATGCTTCATCAAACAAGCCCTCGTCACAAAACCCTTGGATCATAATGGTATATGTATAGACATTTAGATCATATCCTTTGACCAAAAGATCTTTAAAAACTTTTCGTGCATCCTCTAGTCTTCTACTTTGGCACAACCCTCTAATAAGAATATTATATGTACGCAAATTTGGTTGAATACTCTGGTCTTCAAATTTTCGTAACAATGCAATTGCCTTGTCAATATGGTGATTTTTACATAGAGCACCCAATATAGAATTGTAAGTGAATATATCAGGCGGTTGACCTCTATCATGCATCTCATCCACAAGCTCCAAAGCATATGAGATTCTACCTGATTTGCAAACGCCATCAATAAGAGCATTGTAAGTTATCGTATTGGGAATGATTTTTCTGTAATGCATTTCTTTGAAGAGATTAATAGCTTCATCCACCATTTTAATCTTACAAAACCCATTAATCATGATATTGTAGCTCCAACTATCAGCAGCCGCTCCCCTCAAGGACAAAGCGTTGAATATATCATTGGCCTTGTTCACTTGTTTACGCATGCAATATCCATCTATTAAAGAGTTATATGCAACAACATCAGGTTTTATGCCTTTTCTCATCATGGCAGCAACCACTGCTTTAGCTTGTTTCATTTTTCCTTCCTTACTAAATGCATCAACCAATATATTAAAGCTATACACATCAGGGTTGATATTTTTTAATATCATTTTGCAAAACAAACCAACAGCATTTTTCAATTCACCCACAATGCAAAAGCCATAGATTAATGCATTATAAGTAAGAACATTAGGATAGATTCTCTTAGCAAGCATTTCAGAATATAAATCAAAAGCATCATTAACAAGTTTACTTTTGCACATACTATCAATAATAGTGTTGTACATTACCGCGTTAGGCTGAATCAATTTCCCATCTACTTGTCTGAGCAACTGCAGGGCTGCTGCTGTTTCTCCAACTTTGCATAACCCATTGATCAAGGTGCCATAACAAACTTGATTAAAGTGAAACCCCTGTGCTACCATCTTATCATGAAGCTGCAATGCTTTATGGACCTCGCCTTTAAGACAGTGTCCCTTGATGAGTGTAGTCAGAGTTATGGTATTTGGCTGGTAACCCTTTTTGAGAATGTTGGCAAATACAGAAAATGAAAGAGAGTTTAGACCCAATTGACAAAAGCAATTCATCAAAATGTTCAAAGTGACTAAGTTTGATTCAATTCCTGTCTTCAATTCCAATTGTCGATGAAGTGAAACAACAGTGGAGTAATGGTTCGCCTTGACAAGGGAACCTAAAATGTTGCCAAATTGGAAGATGGTTGGTGTAGGATTCTGATGGAGTAATTGATTGAATTCGGAAACAAGATTGTCTTGGTCGTATTGCATCGAGTAAGAAGAGAGGAAACAGGGAAGGAAAATAGGGTTTTGACATTGAAAATGAGAAAAATTGGGAACGAAAACACATCTTAACCTAGAAATCGACATTGTCAAAACAAGAAAGAAAATGTCACTTTTTATGGAGTGTAACTTTGATATCTTTAAGTTATCAATTTATTCTCTCACATTAATACAAAATACATTAATCTTTTTTCCATTATTTTTTTAACCAAAGTTCCAAAGTTATGGCTACAGTAATGTTACTGAAGCCATTTCCCACTTTTTATACCTAATTTTCTCCAATTTCTTATCTATAAGCAGCGTCATTCTGCTTCAATTTCTTCTTCTAAAGAAAGAGCAGGTGGATTGATCTCTTAATTAAACCTCATTCACTTTTTTTAAAATTTAAATTCTACAAAATAGTTTTTGACATAAAGTACAAAATAATATCAATTATTGATTAAAAAATAAAAAAATAGATTATTATCTATAAAGCACATACACTTTTAAAGTAGATGCGTCGCGGTATCCAACACACGTTGGTATTTCGATACTTGTATGACATATGTTGAAAAAATCAAACAAGTGTTGAAAAAGTTAAACAAGCGTCATCTAAAAAATAATTATTTTCTTTGATTTATCTGTCTTTAAACCAATGTATGACAATGACATTTATATGATACTCATAGAGCACATCAAACCTAACATACAAGTGTTTTATAAATAAAAATATATATTTTTTCTTTATTTCAACACACCTTAAATATTTTTTGAACAAATCTCTCATAAATAAAAAGGTTAAACATATACTAAAACAATGTTATCAATGAAGAATTTAAGATGTTAATTTTAATTAATATACTTTTAACTCTTTAAATAATAGATGTAAAAATGAAACTCATATACTATCGTATATGTAGCGGTGTCAGTGTCTTATATTTTTTCATTATCAATGTTGAAATATCTGTGTTAGATTGTGTGTTTCATAGATTATTACATATTGATAGTTAATGATAAGTGGACAAGGTCGATCAAGTAGAACGAGAGATAACTGCCTTGCCGAGACGTTTGATGTAGGGAATGCGGTGGAGCGAAGGCTCCAACAGTACCGTTCAGAGATAGAGTTGAAACTTGTGCACTGTAAATCCTAATCTTTCAGCATTAATACAAAGGAACTGCAGATGCTCGGTGGTTGGAGACATAGAAAAAATTAGCTGAATGTTATTGTCAAATATAGTGTGTTCATTGACTATGAGTAAAACTCCACGATCAAGAATTTTTCTATGGAGAGAAAATAATGATTTTTATTGAATGAACAAAATGGTGATACACGTATATTTATACAATAGAGTTAATGAAAAACTAATAACTAACACTGTTACAGAGTATTAGCAACACATAACATAATTGGAGGCAATTAAGAAGGGCAAAAATTAAAGAAAGAAAGAGGGAAAATCAGCTAGAGCCTTATATGTTTACTTTATGACTTGCTTCTTCTGTTGCCCCCAAATTTGTGATGGTGTTGTAACAATTCAATAAGCTGGTAAAAATTTTGGATTGGCATCAACTATCAACAACTCTATAATTAGCAAAGGTGTTACCTATTCTATAATTTAAATTCTCAGGTATTATAATACATTTTAAAATTATATAGCTAAATAATAACGAGTAAACAAACAACCATGTCAGTTCTTGAATAATATATAACTGTAATGCAATTATAAAATTATATAGCTTAATAATAACGAGCAACGCGGTGTTGCTATTAATGTGTCTCAATCTCTGCTCTATATATATATATATATATATATATATATATATATATATATATATATATATATATATATATATATATATATATATATATATATATATATATATATATATATATATATATATATATATATATATATATATATATATATATATATATATATATATATATATATATATATATATATATATATATATATATATATATATATATGGTAATGTTAACTTTTATATATATATAAAAGTTAACATTACCATATATATATATATATATATATATATATATATATATATATATATATATATATATATATATATATTATATATATATATATATATATATATATATATATATATATATATATATATATATATATATATATATATATATATATATATATATATATATATGGTAATGTTAACTTTTATATATATATATATATATATATATATATATATATATATATATATATATATATATATATATATATATATATATATATATATATATATATATATATATATATATATATATATATATATATATATATATATATATATATATATATATATATATATATATATATATATATATATATATATATATATATATATATATATATATATATATATATATATATATATATATATATATATATATATATATATATATATATATATATATATATATAGGGTAATGTTAACTTGTGTCTTTGGGACACATGTTAAGAAAACCACTTATAGTAAATTTGCATTGGAAAAAACGATTTAAAAATTAATTTTATACTTTAATTAAAGTTTATACACAATTTCCAAGACAGTGTTTCTTAATTTAGTTCTTAACATATGCCCCAAGGGCACAAGTTAACATTACCCTATATATATATATATATATATATATATATATATATATATATATATATATATATATATATATATATATATATATATATATATATATATATATATATATATATATATATATATATATATATATATATATTTAAAAATAAACGCGTGGGTTGCCTCCCACGAAACGCTTCGTTTAACATCGTATGACTCGACGATCGTTCATCTTATCAGGTAAGACGAACATCTTCGATCTGACCATCCTTTTGGCCTTTGTAGTAAAGCTTAAGCCTCTGTCCGTTGACCTTGAAGGTGTCTCCGTTAGCTTGATTTTTTAGTTCAATTGCTCCATGCGGAAACACTTTATGCACCATAAACGGTCTTGACCATCTCGACCGTAGCTTTCCGGGAAACAGCTTCAACCTGGAATTAAAGAGCAAAACTAATTTTCCCTCCCAAAATTCCTTTTTCTGGATCTTCTGATCATGCCAAGTTTTTTTTCTCTTTATAAATCTTGGCATTCTCATATGCTTGGTTCCTAAAATCTTCCAACTCGTGGAGTTGAAGAGTTCGGGATTCACCAGCTTTCAAAAGATCACAGTTCAGGAACTTGGAAACCCAAAAGGCCTTATGCTCGAGTTCGAGCAGCAAATGACATGATTTACCATAAACAAATTGATAAGGGGACATACCTATAGGTGTTTTGAACGCTGTTTTGTATGCCCACAATGTGTTATCCAGCTTAACTAACCAATCTTTCCTAGTGTCGCTACCGCGAAAATAAGGTGTCGGCAAAACAAAAGAGTCGCCACCTTTCGTTATTTATCCCTTAGAACGGGAAAGGGAACGATCGGAAAAACCTGACGAAAAGGTATAAGACAAGGTCATCGCAACCAATGTCTGGATTCGGGAGTCGGTTACGTAAGGGGAAGGTATTAGCACCTCTCACGTCCATCGTACTCGATGGGATCCACGCTTGTTGTGTTTATCTAACGGGTTGGTTTACTATCTATCTACCTATCAAGGCTGGTCTGAAAAGAAAATGAAAATGACTCGGCAAAGCGTCGCACTTTATGCCTACGTATTCTCATCAGAGAATGAGAAATCAGAGTCAACGTAGTTCTCCTAACTACGGGAAAAGGGGAAGGTGGCTCGCCAATACGTCAGTATTGTGCCTACGTACTCTCAACAGATATGAGAGATCAGAGCTTACGTAGTTCGGGAAAATACGAATTACGGGAATTCAGATTCATCTGTTTTTCGAGTAGGGTTAACAGACAGTTCCAGCAGTTTGGCGTACGCAGCTCGACCCTTGGAGACTTAGGCGTTACCGTTTGCGGTAGAACTGGTAGTTAACGACACTCTTTTCTTCAGAAAAGCTTCCTTTGAATTATGGGCCCACGGGGGCAAAAGGTTTGAAGTTTGTTTTCTGTCTTTTACGGAAGAACTGTTTTTTATGGTTGTCTGTAGTTTGTACAACACTAGAGACTATGACTTAGGAGCGAATGCGTCGTATAGCATCCAAAGGACTTATACTAAACATCCTAGATGATTGAGAGGAGACCGCTCAATTATCATTTCCCAAGTAGCTTAAGGCTCGTAACGCGCTTATACTAACTTGCCTTTATTACATTTTTTACTGTTATTTTGAGATGAGAAGAGAACGAACTCTATGGGGAGACTGTCAAGTCCTAATGTTGTCATGCCAAGGATTCATCCTATGGTTGAGGTTTGAAACAGGGAACTCCTAGAAGTTATCATGCATAGGTTTCAACCTAAAGTTCTATTCATCACGTCCTTATCAAAGGAAGTGAGATTCCTAGGGGATCATGCCAGGGTATACAGAAACAGATAAAGCATCAGCTTAAACAGTAAATAGATAAACAGTAAAGATGCACATGCAATGCAGCAATACAAGCAGAGGAAGACTCACTCAACCTCTTAGCAAGCAAAGTAAAAACAGACAAAACAGACAAGCAGATGGAGCTCATTCAACCTCTATTATGCAAAATCATCAATTAGAAAAAAAACAACACACAAGCAAGGGGATGATCACCTCAACCCTTAATGCAAACAAGCAGAGGGACCCACTCAACCTCTAAGCAGTCATGCTCCTAGCTTAAACTATTATAATCATGCACTATCCTAATGCGACAAGCAATTCAATCAATGAATGAGGAGAAGGACTTATGACAAATAATGGATTCAATTCACAAGTAGTCATACAAGCATCTATCCTAAGGAAAGAAATTGGGTGTTGGGAGGCTAGGGTAAGGTCCACAGGAACTTATCCTAGGCACTCAACCAACTAAGAGATTTTGGGGAATCCTAGGGGTTTGGCTCCTTCAAGAGATGTGAAACATTCCCCCCACAGGAGGGACTATGCTACCCCAAGAAGATTCCTAAGAAGAAATGAGCAAGAAAATTTTAGGAGAATGGAGATGAGAAGCAAGGTAAGTTCCACAGGAACTTACCACAGACACTCA